AATAAATTGAAATGGACTAGAATTGGACATTTTCAATCAGAAGATCATACTACTTAATATGCAGGACGTGAAAAAGAAGAAGCAACACCATTTTCATAGGAAGGATGTAGCAAAGATAGTACTTGGGTACAATGCTATCAATGACCAAATAATATCAATTAGACTTCACAGACAACTTTTTGACATGAAGATTATCCAAGTTTATGCTCCAACCATTGATGCAAAAGAAGAGGAGTTTGATGAGTTTTATGGTCAAGTTCAGTTTGAAATTGGCAAAATATGCAAGCAAGATGCACTGTTTGTCTCTGGAGAGTGGAATGCCAAAGTTGGGAATATTAAGGAGGAAAATGTAGTTGGACTATATAGCCTAGGAAACTAAAAGGAAGCAGTAGAATAACTTACCAGTTTCTGCCAATCCAATGATTTCTTCAGTACTAATATAGTCTTCAAACAACCAGAACAATGCCTATATATGGATATCACCAGATGGAAAACACAGAAATCAAATTGACTATATTATTGGTGCAAGAAGGTAGAAGAGCTCAGTTATAATAGCAGAAATGTGGCCAGGGGCTGACTGTGAAACAGGCCACGAGCTGCTCATGTGCAAGTTGTAAGTCAAGCTAAAGCAGAAGAACAAAGCCAACCAGATTCCACAATATGATCTTAAGCATCTGCCCACCATTTGCAAGAAAATGAAGAATCACTTTGAAGTCCTGAACCTCTGTTGACAGAAAACCAGTGGAACTGTGGAATGAAATTAGAGAAGTTGTTAAGGGTGAATACTGAGAGAGACCGCCAAAGACCAAGAAACACGAAAGTGAACTGGATGTCAAGACAAATGGTGAAAATTGCCAAGGAGAAAAGAGAAGCTAAAGCCAAGAAAGACAAAGATTTCAGGAAGGTACTTAACAAAGAATTTCTGAAAGCTCTTAGACAAGAAGTAGTAATACAACAAAATCTGTAAGGTTATTAATGACGGAAACTAAAATGCAAAGGAAAGTCTTCCAAAAGATCTCTGAAATCAGAAAGAGGTTCCAAACTCAAATTGGTATGTTAAAGGACACCAATTGACAAATAGTCAGTTTGATTCAAAGAAGATCAAATAAAGGGGGAAGGGGCATATTGAAATTCTGTACAATAGAAATGTCAACACCTTAGAAGATATTATCTATATGCAAGAACATTTAATACTAGAAGATGAAGTTAGATCAGAACTCCAGTAATTACCAAGTCAGAAGGCCACAGGAATTGATGAAAAATCTATAGAAATATGGCAAGCAACAGAAGAAGAATCAGTAAAGGTTTTAAGCAAGTTATGCCAACAAATATGGAGATCCACCCCGTGGCTGACAATTTGGAAGAGGTCAGTCTACAGACCCATATCAAAGAAAGCAGACTTAACATATTGTGCAAACTATAATATATTTAATTTCACATGCTAGCAAAATAATTCATAGGATTATCCACTGCAGATTAGAGCCCCACAAGGAAAAAGAGAAACCAGATGTTCAGGCTAGTTTCAGAAAAGGCCAAGAAACTTTTGCATGCTAGATAATTTAAAAAGCCAAAGAACGTCAAAAAGAAGTCAATATGTATTTCATTGACTATAGAAAGGCCTTCAATCGTGTCAATCAAGTCAAGCTATGCAAAGTGAGATTCCCAGAAATATCTCATTGTGCTCATGAGAATTCTATACATGAAACAGGATGCCCACAGTCCAGAAAGATCATGGTAAAATAGGCTGGCTCCTGGTTGCCAAAGAAGTGAAAGAAGATTGTATACTCTTTATTTATTCAACTGATATACTGAATCTGTATTGAGGGAAGCTGATTTGAAAGTTGATGAGCATGATTTTAAAACTGGAAAAAGTAACATCAAAAACTTGCCCTATGCTGATGGCCTTACCTTCATAGCTGAACATGCAGGTGATCTGGAAGCTCTAGTAATTAACGTCAAGGACCACACTGAAAAAAGTGAGACTAAGATTAAATATTAAGAAGACCAAAATAATGATAACACAACAACCAGCCTTAGAACTGATAACAAAGATATTGAAGTAGTAGATAGCCTCTACCTTTTAGGATCAACTATAAACAGTAACGGAACCATCAGTCAAGAAATATGCCATAGACTTGCAGTGAAGGCCTTGGAAAAGATATTCAAATGCCATGATATGTCTACACCTACAAGATCAGGCAATCGTTTTCACCCTGACACTGTATGAAAGTGAAGGTTGGACTTTGAAGAAAGAGTATTGATGTTTTTGAACTTGGGTGTTGGAGAAGAATCCTGAGAATACCATGGACAGTCAAGAGCACAAATAAATAGATCATAGAACAAATCAGCCAAGAGTTTTCACTCTTAGTATAAAAACCAGACTCAAATTATCATATTTTGGACACATATGAAGACTCCGCTCCCCTGAAAAGCCCATAATACTGGGAAAGGTGGTAGGAAAGACAAGGAGAGGACAACCAGCAGCAAAGTTGGACTATCTCAGTTACAGTGGCGATGAGTGCATTGTTGGAACACCTGAAGAGCCAAACTGGAAACAGATCATCCTGGAAAGATGTCTATCTATGGGGACGCTAGGAATTGATTGATGGCAATCAATCAATCAATCAATCAATCAATCAAAGATCACCCAAGGAAAACTGCTAGCTGTTAAAAGTTCATTAAAAATTATGGTTTTCATGATTTTCTCAAATGCCAGAATTGTAAGGGCCAGGTATATCACTCAGGGCAATTTATTCTATAAGGTGGGGCCATAATGGAAAAGACCTCCCACTTGGTCTATATCCTCTTATTTCCTGTGGAGGTAGAATCCTCAGTAAGTCCTCCCTAGAAGACCATTGCCAGACAGGCATTCTAGATCAGGTTGTTTCTGGAGTTGCACCATATAGGGCTTTATAGGTGATAACTAACAGCTTCAGTTGGGCCTGGAAGCCAATCAGCCAACCAGCCAACCAATGCAGCAATCATAATATTAGTGTTACTGTGGAGTATTGGATTTCCTCTGCTAACATCTGGGCTGCTGCATTTTATACCAACTGAAGTTTCTGAGTGGTCTTCAGAGGCAGCTTTATGTAAAGCACATTGCTATAGTCCAGACATACTATAGTAATAAGGGTATGAATTAACAGTTGCCTAGCTGCCTACCTAACTGGTATATCAGCTGAAGTTGGGCAAAGCCACCCTGAACATAGCTTCCACCTGCTGTTCCTACAGGAGTTATGAAACCAGGAGCCCCACCAAGTCACAGATCTGCTCCTTCAGGGGAAGCATAACCATGTCCAGAACAACCATCAGAACCAACGTTTCTGGAACATCTAGATGTATACAGATGGACAGTATATCCACCCTGTTTAGATTTAATTTGACTGTCTTTCTCCCAGTTCAGTTATTCACAGCCTCTAGGCCTGATTCAAGAATTTAGCAGGATTTCTGGTCCCGCCTGGGGTGATGATATACAATTTAGTATCATAAGCATACTGATGATATCTACCCCAAATTTACAGATGACTTCTCCTAGGAGTTTCATACAGATGTTAAACAACATGGGGAGAGGAAAACATCCTGCGATACTCCACACTGGATCAGCAACAAATTCAATTGCTTACCGCTCCCCCCGCCCCCGCCTATCAACTGAAACCACATATTCAGGGAGGAATGGAATCACTGCAAAACAGTGTCACAATCTCCAACCCTTGAAGGCAGTCCAGAATGATACCATGGCATTGATTGTATCAACCACCGCTAAGTGTCTAATAGGATCTGGAGGGAAAAAACAAAAGCTATTGACATCCAGATCTGAAACCTGACTGGAAGGGATACAGATTATTCCCCAGCACCATGCAGATGGATCTTGAAGAGGGTGTCTTCAAGAGAGAGCACACCACTGCCTATTTTGAGGCAGGAGGCACAGAGAGACATTAACCACCTCATAAGCCTAGCATCACACACCCTGCCCAGCTGCCTGAAGGAGCCAGGGAAGGCATAGACCCAAACCACAAATATAGTGCTTCTGATATATAGCACGCTATATAGAAACCACCTCCTCAGGTTTCACAAGCTCAGAAGAATCCCAGGTTGTAGTAAAAATTGTTGCCCACTTACCTTGCCTGGCCTGCTCAACTGGCATCCAAACCTAAGTGATTTTATCTTCAAAGAAGCTCACACACTCATCCAGCTGGCCTGGAAACTACCTGATTCTACCTGACCTTCCCTAAAAGGTTACACCAAACAGGGTTCTTGGGTGGGAATCTGCAGATGCAGTAAGTGCAGAAAAGATTGCTTTTATTACTGCTGTGTAAGTACAAACATGGGCTCATACATATTCACTTTGAGCCTTATACCACTGTTCCTATGGGCATCTTTTCACTCATCTCATCTCCCAGAACTCGTTTGAAAACCTGGAAGATGCTTGGGATTGGTAACTGGAAAGAGGCAATGCAGGCACAATCTTGTTCAGTGCTCAGGTTTTCTGTTACTCCCAGAGGTAAATTGCATGACTGCCTTCCAGATCATTGAGAAAATCCCTGTGCATTCTCAGAAAAGCCTCAGCATCCATCAAATGCCTGGAGCAGACCATCCTAATTGGACCTTGGGCCCCAATTAGGCCCAGGATGCTCATGATCCGCTGCTAGACCAGACAGTGTCCTGACCAGTGCAAGTCCTCCATATCCAGACCACCTCTCATATAAATCTTGGTATCCCACCTTTATATTTTCCCATATTTTTTGGTTCAGTGCTTTTTGTTTTTAATTTTAGAAAGATACTTTGAGAAAGAAAAAGAGGACTGGCTCTAAATTTGATATTGCATTTCCCCAAATGGACCTGGTACACAATTTGGGGTTCATTCTGGACTTACAGTTTCTGCTCAAGGAGCAGGTGGCAGCAGTGGCGAAGAGGGCCTTTTCACAGAATTGTCTTATGCACCAATTGCAACCATTTCTAAATTGGTAAGCCTTTGTCATGATCACCTATACTTCACTTACCTTCATGGGGATGCCCTTGAAGACTACTCAGAATGCAGCAGCAAGAATAATTATGAGGATATTCGTGCAATACTTCTAGTCACAAGCAGCACTGGTTATCAATTGCACTGGGTGAAATTCAAGATTCTGGTGGTCATCTATGAAGCCTTCATAGTGCAGGGTCTATGAAGATAGCCTTTCTCCACCTGCTTCTGCCTTTCCTGAAAAACCAGACAGGGTTGGCATGTTTCAGGTCCCATTAATAAAGTAGTGTCACATTATGGGGCCCTGGAGGCATGCCTTCTCTGAAGCCATGCTTGCCCATTGGGACAGCATGTACCCCCAAAGTCCACATAGACCTGACCCTGCTGGCTCTTCCCACAGGCATTGGGTTAGGGACCATCAAGATAATCATATGTGATATAACGGAGTATAATGGTTATGTGGGAATGATCTTGGGAGACAGGAGGAAGAGCTGCAGACTGGACAACTGATGTGTAAACGATATCTCAGCTCACAGAAGGAGGGAAGGCATGGGAAACCTTTCAGAAGGGACCCTCCCTAGTTTTCCAGAGAGCTAAAAGGAAAGGAGGGATGAAATACTTTCAGTCTTGCAAGATTCTGTTAAAGTAACCTTACAATAAAGATGGAGCTAGTACTCCTGGTTGTGCTTCTTGTCTGGACTACCTCACAGGGCTAACATGGAGGTTGTTTTGCCTTCCAAGAGTGGTTGGGCTGTTGTTATGTTGTAGTTTTTATTGTTTTTAATCCTCTGTAAACTGCTTAGAGTCATTGGCAGTTGGGTGGCCTTAGAAACTGACCAAATAGGTACAATAAATAAATCCTAGGAGAGGTTAGCATCCAGCTACTGTACCAATATATAGCCACAGCCTCAAGTATTGGAAAAAGTATCTGACGGCAACCTTTTTGTTGTGCTGTCATTTTATTTTTCCAAGTCACAGGGGCTTTTTAATGAAAGAAAATAAAGTTCTGACAGTGGCCAGGAAGATTTTGGAGTATTTTGATGCTTTTGTTTGTATTTTTTTTACAACTGCCCTTCCCATACATAGCTTCCCCCTCATAGCAGTCTCGGATTTCTTTTACAAACCGTTGGATCCACACATACAAATACATGTACTGGGTCAATTTATAGGATTTCTTTTTTGTGTGGAATGTGGGTGAAGAGATTTTTTATTACTCCATGAGTAATGGTGGCTTGGGTGGTAAGATAGATTCTTTGCACTCTCTTGTTGGTTCCTGGAGGGAGAGGGTGAGTGCTGATTGGCTTACAGTGTCCGCTGTGTTTCGAAGTGAAGGCAAGTGTAACTCAGTGTTAAACCATTTTGTAAAAGATTAGGGTGGGGAGGGTAGAAGAGCTGGTGGTAGGGAAGTGACCTCAGCAGATGAAGCTGGATTTTCACCAGTGGAATGCCTGCACCAAGAACTCCAGGGGTTTCATACTGTCCTGAAGAAAGATATCTGGATCTTTCAGATGTGTCATATCTAGCCACGTATGATCCCCTCTGGGTATTTTAAAGCATTTCTAGAAAGCACTGGTGTCTTAAGGATTTCTGAGTTCCCTGTTAGGTTTAAGAAAATGATATAGCCTTCCAAATGGCATCTAAAACTGCAACAGGGATGTTACAAGCAAAGATGACGTGGGACAATCATGGAGAAGAAATGAGGAAATCCACAAACAGCTGACAGACAGCTGCAGTGCCTGTTAGGAAAACATATTTTACTTGATGAAAAATATTGTGAAAAAACATGAGCAAATCTCTCATGCTTTTAAGGAAGATTAAAGCATATCCATCTGCTTTCCTAATAATTTTCATTTCCCTTTTACAGGATTTTAATTTGATTGGTTCATGGAGCTAACATATGGAATCATTTTCATATATAGCTGCATTTTTAACTTTCTTTCTTATTATAAATATAAATACATGTGTAACTGCACATTTATATACATTAAACAGACTTTTTAAAATAGAAAACAAACCTTGGTAGTACAGTAAAACTGCAGTTGGATGCTTCTGGCTGTCTAATAAAACAGTAACAACATCAGTGGATGTTAAGCAGTAACAGTGAATAAAAATAGGCCAGCTTTCATTGATTAATGGAGACACAGGCCTTGCTCAAGGATACTCAACACTGCTTCAGTAAGGGAAGGTCTTGTTTAACTAATCTACTAGAGTTTTTATGAGGATGTTAATAAACATGGGGATAAGGAATAGACATCATCTACTTAGAATTTCAAAAAGCCTTTGATAAAGTCTCTCATCAAGGATTTCTCAATAAGCTTAATAGCCATGGAATAAAGGGTAGGTCCTCTTGTGGATAATCAACTGGTTAAAAAGGAAACAAAAAGTGGGAATAAGTGGACATTTCTAACAATGGAGGGAGATAACTAGTGGGATCCCCCAGGGTTCTGTCCTAGGACTGGTGCTTCTTAACATATTTATAAATGATCTGGGATCAGGTGTGACTAGTGGAATAGCCAAGTTTGCTGATGACATTAAATTGTTCAGAGTGGTAAAAACAATAAGACATTGTGAAGAGCTCCAAAGGGATCTCTGTACATTAGAGCAGTACAATACAAAAATAACATTGAAAATAGAGATTCCAGTATTATTAATGTCCTTATATAAATCAATGGTGCAACTGCATATGAGATATTGTGTCAGTTCTGGTCACGGCACCTCAAAACGAATATGGTGGAGCTAGAGAAGGTTCAGAGGAGGACAACAAAGATGATCAAGGGCCTGGAGCAGCTTCCCTATGAGGAAAGGTTGCAATATTTGGGGCATTTTAGTCTAAAAAGGAGGCAAATGAGAGGGGGTGTGATTAAGCTGTACAAAATTATGCATGGTGTGGATAAAATGGACAAAGAGAAGCTATTTTTCCCTTTCCAAAATACTAGAACCAGAGGTCACCCAATGAAATTGAATTCTGGAAGAATCAGGACAGACAAAAGGAATTTTTTTTTTATATACAATGAGTAATTCAACTTTGGAATTCATTACCATGAGATGTGGTACTAGCTTGGCTGGATTCAAAAAAGAGTTGGACCAATTCATGGAAGTCCTGGGGATCAATGGCTATTAGCCTTGATGGCAGGGTGACTGCCTCTGAAGGCCATCTGCTGGGAGACTAGTGGGCTTCCTTGTGCAGGTGGTTGAGTGTTGTGAGACAGACTAGATGGGCCAGAGAGCTAATCCAGCAAGGCACTCCTTACGTTCGTATATAATGCTGTCCATAAATATACCAGGACAACCAATACAACAATTCAATTTTATAAGGTAATAAAATTTGAAATGAAAGTTAGCATTAGCTAGATATATGACCTGTGGAAGGAAAAATTAAAATATCCAATTCTGAAAAATCAACTGGTGTTGAAAAATGGTGTCAAAATGTGAAATACTCTGTAATAATAAAAATAAAATTAATTTATCAGAAAATATTATTTGGGATCTATTAGATCCTTCAGAGAGTGTGGAGGGATGGAGATTAGCTTTGTTATGTTGATAGCATAAGAAATTTGAAGGCTCTTTAACTCACATGATTTGATCCTGTTCTGCTGTAGCTTTGTTTTTGTTTCAAATCAATACACATGTTAATTTAATTTGGGGAAGAAATATCATAGTTAAGGATCTCAGTGTGATGTTGAATTATATTCCTATAACATGGAATTTGTCATCTCATGAAAGTTCTGGCTCTATGGAGCCTGGGGTATGGTAATTCTATGTAATTGGAAAAACTAAGGAATAGATCCAAGATAACCAGTTTGTGTTCTAAAAATAATAAAAGACCACAGGATGTTACTATATGGCCTAGATTTAATGATTGGATTTATTTATAAAGACATCTATACTTATCATTCTTTCTGTTAATTCTTTTTATTATTTTTAGTTCATTTCGATCACTATAATGTATTTAGTTTTTATTCACTGTGTAATCACTATTTAACATTCTTTTTTTTTTTAAAAAAAAAGGAGCTGGGCAGAACCCAACCATATTGTTGTAGAAATCTCCTTATTTTTTTCTTGACAAAAATTATGTCAATAAACAGGGAGAGTACTACTTTAAATCTGGAACAACAAAATAAGACTTGAAGCTACCTTACTGATGAGTTGGAGTTAAGATGAAGGCAATGTCGTGAGGACCTGGCATAAAAAATCTATTTCTAGGAGTATGTTTGTGCTGAAGCCAGGAGAATGTGAAGATAAGCCCTAGGACTGAAAGATGCCTCATGGGTATAAAGTCATGGTCATAGATCAAGGACCATAACCATAATTTTCACATGACCTTAAATGGAACTCTTTTTCAATATGACAAGGTATTGGGTACTTTACCATGGACATCATCAAAGCAACCAGTAGAAGTAAAAACCAGGAGGAACCATCCAGATGTAGCTAAATTGCAATTCTCAACATTTCCTCCCAGCCAGCCTCTCCAGTGGTGAAGGATGCAGGGAGTTATCACTCAGCAATATCTGGAGGATTGCAGGTTCCCATCCCTGTGGTAGAATATAAACAAGGGAGAGAGGCAAATACGAATGCCAAAAGACAAAAACACCCAAACTTCAAAGAGGCACTTCACTTTGATTGATGTTTCGACTGATGGGCCCTTTTTTTGCCAGGAAGGAAAAGCATGCCTGGTACTTGCTGTAGACTTGTTTGCCCGAGTCTGATCTTTGCTGAACGTCTCCACATGGGCAGAAGCAGGGGTGGTATCCAGGCCATTTCGAGTGGTGCATGCAAAACGGTTAACTGCAAAATCTGCAAGATACCTCCTCTCCTTCCCTTTCTCTTGGTCTCCTTGTCCACAGCAGCCTTTCCAGGTGACAGTGTGCAGCATGGCAAGTGCAACTGGGTGGTCCTCACCCAGATTTGCATTTTGAGTGGTGGGGGCAATCGCACAGCGGTCCAACTCCCTGCGATGTGCCTAAGAGGGTAGCTTCAAGTAAATCCTTTCAAATTTAGAACTGATTTTAGATTAAACTGACTACTCAGAGCTATTTGATTGGC